CATCATCATCATCATCATCATCATCATCATCATCATCATCATCATCATCCAACCATATTTTCGACCATTAGACCCTAAACTACGTACACCGTACAATTCACAATCATCCACATGATCTATGAACCACATCATTCGAACGGAAGAATCAAATCACCGATTCCACCGATTTTCGAGACCTGTTGACTTCGGGCCAAGGGGCCCAAGGGGCCCAGGTCCACGGTCAGGCTCCTGTGTGATCCGGACCACGGTGTTCTGGGGTGATCCGACTGAGAGGCTGTTGATGGACATGCGGACCATTGCCTTCCCCCGTCGTGACCTGCAAGGGGGTGGTTGATGGACACGTAAACCTCCATGGGAAGTCGGGGTTCTCATCGTTGGAATCATAATTAGGAACCTCCTATGAAGGGTTTTGAGTCGGCATGGCCTTCATAGCATTTACAGTATAAGGATGTATAAGGTTTGGACCTGCAAAACCTTCATCTTTCAGCGTTCCATGATTCTTAGGGAGTGCCAGCTGCACGGATCTGCACACATGTAGGTCCTCCTGCGGCACGGGGCGGATGCGGCTTATGCCGGGGAGGATGGCTCGTGCGCGCTGGATCTGGCTGCGCAGTTGGGTGGTAGCAGGGGAAGCAAGCTGGTGCAGATGCTCCTCGAGGTGAGAAGGTGAGAAGGAGGGTTGTGGGTGGTCGGATGGAGATGAAATGAACGAAGGAACAGGAGGGACCTCTATAGTGATTGTAGCCGAGATTGGGGGAAGATTCGTATTTCAGATCGGTATTCAGGTTGCTACAGTTCTAGATGTTGGAGGCGCGAGGGGACGAGCTTCTCAGTGTTGATGGAAGAATGGTGCTTTTACCACTTGCACAAGTCGTTGATTCTCTGATATTGCACTGCTTTCGCGGAAAGAATCGGGGATAGAGAAACAGCTTGACTCGACATTTTTTGGTCCGATGAGTAAGTAAGGCCACCCAAGAGACTTTCTATCCAAGTCCATTTGACATGTATTTTGTGGTATCCTTTCGTCCCGTGGATCCTTTCCACCTGACCCTGCCCCTGAGCTCCTCGCAATTGACAGGTTTCAGAGGTTCCGCTGGTGTAGTGTGGGGTCCGTTCGATCTCTCAAGTGCTCTATCTTAGGAATAGGTCAATACAAAGGCCACTGAGTGGAAGTAGAAAGAGTGGTTGACAGTGCCTCTTCAACTGGCAAGCTACTGGGATGCAAGCTTGGGAAAGATGACCTTTCTCATGTGTTTGTACCATATATATATATATATTATATATAGGTGATATTACTGCATTTGGTTTCGGGAGAGTATTGCTGAAGAAATGCCCACTGTCTCCTGGTCCATTGTCGACTGCTGACTGAGATAGATTTCCTTGGACAGGATGCCCTTGCAAAAGTCCACCATGATTCATGATTCAGGCAGCACCATACTCTATGAGCTACTCGGCAAAGGAGCCCATGTTTGGAACACTTGTCACACCAGTCTCTCCAGATCTCTTCTGGTAGTGTCCACATCCCCCAAGCTATGATCTCTTCCAGTCATTGAGTCCTTCAAGTATCCACACCTCCGCTCACCACTCGGCTATATACAGCCCGGCAGACCCAGCCAGGCCCATGCAGACCCCAACGTGGGCAGCATTGGCCCGCTGTTCCTGGCGGCGCAAGAAAACTCTGAGACGTCTGTGAAGGCTCTGCTGGCAGCCAAAGCGCGGCCAGGCGGGAAGGAAGATGTCCTTGTGACTTGCATGGATGACTGGGCATGGTTTAGCGAAACGGTCAAAGAACAGGTATTGGAACATCAAGTCCTTTTTTGTTGATAGCAAGTCCTTTTTTGGAGCTTTCGTGGACGGGGTGGCGTCTTCTGAACACATCAGCAATCTGAGCTGCACACACCCTCAGTTGCCATGCCCTGAAATTCAGGCGGCCTTGGTTTCGATGGTCCGGGCGGCAAAGACCGAGAAGCCTTGACGACACCAGTGGAGTGCGCGGCGCGCTTCGGCTTTCTGCGCGTTCTGAAGCTCCTGCTGGCGGCCGACGGGGCTCCCCGAGGCGCTGGGTGGGATTGTTCGAAGGCAGGCCCAGTAAGGTTGGCTGTTTGGATTTGTTTAGTGTGTCATATGGATACATGAGATAAGGAGGTGGGGAAGAGGTTGAAAGGGTTCATGAGGGTTCCGTGTGCTCGGGACAAAGAAGAACACGGTCGACGGTCTGGCGTATGTGGCCCAAATACGCTTATAGACTTATAGATCATAGACATACACATCCAAGTGCAGATTTTCGACGAACCTTAAGCTCATCATTTACACTAGAGTCTACTAGAGGTGTCTTTCCTCCGTTGCAAATTCACGCTGTTGTGCAACTTCCTGGCCAAACCATGTCCAAACTGCCAAAGCCCATATTGGATGCATGCAGTCCTGACCTGACTTGCGGCCATGACTTGCAGGTCTGGACTTGAAGCTGGCTCTGACCTTGGCGCAAGAGGCCGGTCACAGCGATGTGGAGCGGATCTTGCTCCGCGCCGGCGCGGCGCCCGATGCGAAGCGCCCCGCGGACGCGGACGCGCTGGAGGAAGCGCTGCTGTTGCCGGAAGGCTTTGTGCCGGGGCAAGCGGACAGTGAAGAAGTGGAAGGTCAGATTCAGGCAGGGAAATGCCGGAAGATGGTGTTTTTTCGTGATTTTCCTTGTGTCTTCTTTTTTTTCACTGTGAGGCTGGACAGTTTTTGGTGCCTTGTTTTCAAGAGCTTGGATCGATGCAAGTTGCGGGACAGATTGATTGCTTCAGGAGTTCCAGGCTCATTTTTTGGGCGTCACAGTTTGCGCCTAGGTGGAAGAGGTGGATGGCTCCTATCGCCTGCGCTTTCCGGGGCCGAGCCACTTGACGGCGAGCAGCGCAACGCCGGCGCGGATGTGCGCGGCGCATGATTCCTTCTACTACGAAGTCTTGGTCGAGGAGCCACACCGACGACGAAGGTAAGTTCGGTCAGAGCAGGCAGGCCTATATATGAAATATTTGGAGGGCATTCTAAGCAAGGGGTGAACGTCGGTTCGCTTCCAACAGAGTGCACTCTTTTTGCGGTTGAAGGTTGAAGGTTTGTTCCATTTTTTGCATTGAGAGACGATGATTGCTGACAAATCAAACTAACAGCAAACCCACCTGATGGCAAAACTTCAAGGTCCCAATCTCGGAACCACTAAGGAGTGTTGGATCAAATCCTTCTCGCTGTCTCGTTCGATGTCTGTGCCTCTCTCCAATCACATCTCCAATTTCATTCCTTTGGTCATCCATCCACCATGCAGGGATCAGATGCACCACAGAGCTAGGATCCGATTCTGGCATTGAAAAAAGCTCCAGGATTTTTCATTCCAAGTTCAGGGGCCTGGCCTCCGGTCCAGGTTTGCACGCCCCGTCGTGCCAGACACCCACTGGGCCGCGTCACGGTGCGTCACCTCGCAGGAGCTGGATCTCTTAGTGGCTTTGGGCTTCGCACGGCAAGCCTCCACGCCCCTCCACACGCTGCCGGGCTGGACGAAGGGCACCTATGGCCTTCACAGCGATGATGGGCTGCTGCAGGCGAATACGGCGACCACACGCTTGCTGCAAGGCTGGGTCATCAAGAAAGGCAGCACTGTGGGGATGGGACTCTCAGCTGAATCATGCTGAATCCAGCTTGAAAGATCGGCAGAGTTGGCTGAACTAAGTGATCTAGTTGCATGGATGGACTTTCGGCCTGTCCTCAACGTGGATGGACCTTTTTCTTACATGGACACTTGTCTAGAGACAATCGCCCCAGCGGACCCTCGAATGAAGCCGAGCCCGAGCCGAGCCCGGACCGAGACCGGCAGCCATGAAGCGCAGCGACACACCCGACGAGGCGGTCCGAGCTTCGTCTGAGGTGTGGAATGGTCTTCTGAGGATGAAGAGTATCAGCTCTTTGTGACCTTGGAGGGACGGCGCCAAGCGAGAACGGTGCCTTTGGCAGATGACAGGAGCTTTGGAGCTGGTGTAACAGACAAAAAGGGCCACTCAAAAGAATGCGCCAAAGATAAACACAACTAGTTTAAGTTGGTGTGGATGGAGCCTCGTAAGATCGAAATCTTCCAAACGATGGGTCCATCAAGGATCCTCCAAGAGGTTTCGCCCAAACGGGTTGGGGACCGAACAGGTCTCAACTCGGTGACATCTCAGATGGTGTTTGCAGATGGCTTCACGTTGTCTTCTTGTCTCCAGGAGCGAGTCCTTTGACCTCTATCCTCTGGTGGGTGCCGATCGCCCAGCTGTTCTGCTGGTGAACCTGGGTGCTTTTCCCTTCCTCTACAGCGACCCGCGACACCTCGCGGCGCTGGCCAAGCGAAAGGCCGCACGGGCAGAGTCGACTGCCAAGAAACTGAAGTAAGGGCACAAAAGAAGTGCTCGATCGTCGATGGCGCGTGGGATGGACGAGCACCTGGTACCAACACAAACCAGAACAAAACAGGGATTTTCCTGTGGATTTCCTTATCCAAGAATCCAAGATGCTGCAGAATTATATGTCCTTCAGCACAAAGGCATGATCAGAGTCATTCAAACTTTTGGAGTTAGGGGAACTGCCCTCCGTCCGTTGCCGCCGTCAAGCTTCATTGGGAAACGGATGATCCACAGGTAGACTGATGTAAACCGAAGCATTATGCAGCATTTATATATTCCCCTGACCATACCATTATACAGACCTCTTTTCAGAACCAACACCCCCCCTGTAGCCAGTGGACAAAGCGATCGGCATTTCCCGCACGGGTGGGACCGGCCTTGCCCTGAGCTCTGGTGATTCCGAGGTTGCGAGAAGCACAAGAGCTCCACAAGCAGAACCGCCACTTGGAGAAAAGGCAAAGAGGGAGAGAGAGAGGGACATATCGACAGGTCAGTGGGATTCCATCCAACAGCCACGTTTTGAAAAAAGACATGGTTTTCCGAACATCATCTCAAGGAGGTGATGTATGCATTGGATGATATTGGATGGATGATCTTGAACCTAAATTTTGGATGAACCGGGAGTACTTCAAGCTCTCAAGTTTTGGCCAGTGCGTCAAAAAGATGGGACTTGCGTCACGGCGGGAAAACCGAGGGTGTGCCCTCCCTTTGTACCTTTTGGGGAACTTTTTGGGAGTTCACTGGTGGTTGGGTGTTGGAGAGACGAACCCTCGTCCGCACACTCGATTTTGAAGCCAACCATCCGAGATCTTATCAGTCTTGGATAGGCAAACATCATCAGACATCTAGTTCTTCAGAGGGACCTCTGATCAACTGGATCGTGTTTTTTCCTGATCTTCCTATCTTTTCCCAGGCCCGGATGCTGCTGCCTGGAGGTTCTTAAGCTTGGCGGAGGCCGGCCATGAGGCGGGGGGAGCCGGCGAACCGAAGAGCCGACGTCCGCGGAGTCCTTTTAGCGCACTGGTCGATGACAGTGGTCGATTCGTCAGGGAGTTCGTTTTTTTTGAGTCCAAAGTAGACCAACAGGAACTGCAAAAAATCAATGTACCACAGGTACCGTGATGAAACAAAGGTTGAGTGGGAGCCGGTGTTCAAGACCCCTAATTAGGTATGAGCGAGACACAACTGGGAACCTGAAAAGTGCTAGGCCAACCATCGACGACAAGTTTGGCTGTGCATTCTGCCTATGAGTGGGAACATTTTTTGTACATAGATTGGTTTTGACGCAATGTGGAACCTTGTTGTCACTGACGAGACGTGATTCTTACTGCCCCATTGCAACAGAGAATCCAAATCCAATGGTCATCCACAGAGCGATAAAGACCTAGCAGCTAGCATCTCCTTCAGTAGTGTCCATGGCGAAAAAGCTCCTCTTGATCCTTATCGATATGTGGATGCCTTCCCCGTAGAGTGAGCAGTTTTGAATGATGGTCATCTGTTGGTAGAGATACAGTAGGTCCTGAATGATGGTCATCTGTTGGTAGAGATACAGTAACTCCAGAGCAGGGAGAAGCCCTAAATTCCCCCAGTCCTAAGTGCCCCCACATCGGCACTTTGAACCATCCACCGGCACTTTGGACCAATCTACTCCGTCTGCTGGGGGCGGAGAAGACCTACATCAAAGGCATCGCCTCAGGTGGCGACTTGATGGCCCGAACTTGCGGCGCTCGCGGACGCAGGTGGCGCAGATGAACGTGGCGCAGCTCTTGGACTCCGGTTTGGACGCCCAACTCGGGTAGAGGGCGCGGCTCACGGTGGGGCGGCATCGTTCCGTTTTGGGGTGAACCTTTTCGATTGTTTAGCTTTGCTTTGTTGGTTAGCTTGGTGACATTCAAGTGCAGTAGATGCCAATTGAATTGAGAAGTAGGTAGAACTGGACTTGCTAGTAAACCTGCTGATCGATGTTTCTTCTCTTCTCTGTGGTTAGTTCATCCTGTTTGGGCTTGTCAAATTTGTAAGCTACATCACCAACACGCAGTACAAGGAGGGAAGACGTCTGGCTCCTTAAGTAGGTACCTTGCGATGTGTGTTGGTTGAGAAGGATCAAGGTTCATATATTATAGACCTAAGGTTTTGTGAAGGTGGCTCCTGAACTGTCAGGTTTGTTTCATATTCTAACTAATCTAGCCAACTGGGTATGCATTTTGTTGAGACGATCTCCAGATCACCTATTCTTGGCAATGTACTTTTGAAGGCGTGAAAAAGAGGCCTTTGGTGTTCAAGCAACTTGTGAGGATACAAGTTGAAAAAAACTTGCCAACAATTTGTGGAAACAACTTCGATCCCACCAAAGGAAGACAAGTCGAGCTCAAACTTCTTTGATCAGACAAGACATATTGGCACATTTTGGCAGGGTTGGTCACGAAGCGATTTACACCCCTAAGATGGACATAGTGATTTAAGGTGATCCCAACCGATGTTTATGCCTCCATCATTCTCATGTACTGTCAGTGACCACAGCTGGAATAGTGCTTTGATCTGAAAGTGTGAAGATCGCCGAGGGGTGTCCAGAAGTTGAAGAGTCCCAGTGATGGGAGGCTCGTTCCAAACGCGGAACGTCGGGACCGAAATATCGTTCATTGGTGAGGTGCTGCATCTCTGCTGCTGAACTCGAGTGTGGGCACTTGGACAGGTCTGTCTTGTGTGGTCTGTGGCAGAGGACCTAGCCGGTACTCCAGAAATAGACTGGGTGGTCCTGAAGGTTTCCGTGAAGAAGCCGACAAGAAGAATCCTAGCTACCATAAGTGGTTCTGGAAAGTAGCTGAAGACCACAGTGGCACCCTTCAATCCACAGCGCCGTGTCTTTGGTAAGATGGTAAGCTGCGCAAGTTAGAAGATTCTGGAAGAGGCTACGTGTGTTCTGAGTAAAGCTTTCGCTTGTCTATTATTCCAGGGTCCTTCTTCATTTTTATATGAACTCATGATGAATTATCTTCATTTTTGGAGGACTTCTCATCTCAATAGCCTATCATCTCGGTTGAATAGGAATGCCATTAATTGAAAAGACACCTCTTAAGACTCTTGCCTTTTTTCACCGACATATTTTGATGTTTGACGGACTTCCTCTTGTGCCCATTTTCATCGTTCACAGATTCAATAATCAACATTTGTTCAACTTTGCAACAGGAAGAAAAACACTAGCAACACTTGAGTGACTTCCCTCACCCAACTCAGACCCCTAGCGCCCCAATCTGTGAGAAGATAGCAGCTGCAATCGAACTCTAAAACCAACGGCCACCGGTACTCGGGCAGGATCTATGTAAACAGGGGGTGTTCCAGTGAAACCCAGTCGTGAAGCATAAGGAACACCATTCTCCACTAAACATCTGATCCAGGTGAAATTGTGTGAACCTGATTTCACCAGAACAGACGTGTGTAGAGACAGCTGATGGGATACGTGATACTGCCATAGATGATAGATCTCCAGTCCACATGATCCTGCCATATGCTCCATGGCGCTTGTGGTGCGGTGGGCGGCCTCTGGAGAAGAAGTGGCCAGATTCGACACATCGGCGTTCCAGGCGTTGCAGGAGACTGGAGGACGTACGGTAAAAGCGCTCAAGCTGGAACTCCAGTGCCGGCTTAGCACCTCTCGATTCCGGCTGCGGCTTGTACGCCAGCAGGACTGTGTGGAGATGCATGATCAGGAGCTGCTGGCGGTACCTCTGGAGTTGAAACTCGTGGTGTTGAGCTGTTTGCCTCCTGACGAGGAGCAGGACGAGCTATTCATCCTGGCATGTCAGGAGGGCTGTTTGGAAGAAGTGGAGCGATGCCTGCAACGACCACAAGATCCGAACACACTGGACGATGGATGGAGTGCTTTGCATACTGCAGCAGAGCATGGCCATCTTGAAGTCGTGCGTACCTTGTTGGAAGCCCAGGCTTGCTGCAATACCGCGCACGGTGGCATATCTCCGTTGCATTGCGCATCGATAGGGGGTTATACCGAAGTGACACGGCTGCTGCTACAAACCAAGGTCTCGTGCGACCAAGTCACTTCAGGCCGCGGAGCTTCACCTTTGCACTGGGCAGCTGAGAAGGGCCACCCAGAGGTTGTGCGCTTATTAGTAGAAGCCCGGGCTTCTTGCGACTTGTCAACAACGGACGATGGCTCAACTTCCCTGCATTTTGCAGCTAGGAATGGCAACCTGGAGTCGGTGCGATTATTAGTAGATGCTCGAGCCTCTCTGAATCGAACGACCACAGACGGTGACATGACTCCCTTGCAGTTGGCCTCCCTAAATGGTCACACAGAGCTCATGTGCTTCCTCTTGACGTCTCGAGCCTCCTGTCACGTGGCTGCGAAAGATGGCCGGACGCCTGTTCAGTTGGCCATGGAGCATGACGACGTGGAGCTGGTGTTGTGCGTCATGCAAGATGCTTTTAAACTGAAGCGGCCCAGAACCGATGGTGCTGAAAACCATGCCTGAACGCAGTGATTCCAAAGCCCCCTGCTCCTCGGACCTGCCTCTGTGGTGTTGTTTCCAATCTACTATAGTATGTATTTGTATATCTGTTTTCAAGCTGGCTCCTTGGACCTACTCGTACCTGTCACATGGTCACGTGGATGCTTTCCGTGATCGACCACAAAGAGCTCCCAGATTCCATCACATTCCTCGATCAGTGGATGCCAACCACCAAGGCCAGCCCATGCCGCTGAAAGCCATCGAGGTGGGGCCCCTCCCTTGGTCTGGTGGACCTTTGCGCACCAAAAGAAGGCCGCCCTCGCCGGTCCCAAGCGTCGCCCCCCCAAAACAAGTGAACTTCCGTTCACTCGAATCTTTTCCCATCTGCCCAGCTAGAAGTAGGAACATTGTTTTCCTACAGGAGATCCATTTCACAGTCGGAGGAACCTCATTTTCTCATCTTTCCTCGGACTTTCCCCTGCACTTCCACGAAATCGTGTCACCGGAGCTCCTGCTCCGATAAAAGCCGCTCCAGGACCCGCGGCTGCTGGGCCGCGCCTGGGCGCAGCGGCACTACGAGCTCTCGGCCGAGCAGGGCAACGCCTTTTCGGAGCTGGGGCGGGTGGAGACGAGTCCCATGCAACGGGGGGGGGGGAGGGGTTGGAGAGGTGGAGGTGAAGGCGAACAGGTACCTGGAGTGTAAGGGAGTTTGAGTTTGGAAGTGGGTGGGGGGAAGAATAAGGGAAGAGCGATCGGGGGAGATTTTGAAATGCGGTTATTGCAACATAGTCAATTGTATAGTGAGAGCCTGATATATGTTTTTCTTGTTGAAGTTGACTGCGAACTCTACGAGACCCTCCCATGAGCGAACCGTTCCAAGGTCTTCTGATCGACAACACAACACGAAGCCCCAGAATCTAGCAACCTCGTCTAATGATTGCCCCAAAGACTGCAACCGTGGTGAGCTGGAGCGACCCTTCGGTCTGGGTCTGTCCTCCAGCGATGGAGGAGCTGCGCCTCGGGGACTTCGCCTACTATGGCTCCCCACCCGAGACCAAGGGACCGAGGGGGACAGGGTGTGGCGTTGATGGCTAGGACCGGTGTGGTTTCATGCAGCTGGGCGGCTTTCAGACATAGATTTGGTACTGACTACATTGACTAATTAATATTATTAGATATTCCAGGAGGAAGAGTTTTACAGGGCTTTGTTGGTTTCCAGCTTTACATTTGGTGGGTCGCACCTGGTCACCTGTTCATTCCAGTTTTCGGGGTGGGTGGGGTAATATGATAGAGGCAACCTATCATACACTCACTGGGTGATCTCCACCCATTTGGAACTGCCAGTCAAGTACATTCTTAAACAAATGGCCCGTAGGTCTTGATTGCTGATGTATAGCTGTGAGTCAAACCAGAGGCCCATCTGAAGCTATATTGAGTGATTGAAGATCGCCGAGGCACCATCTCTTTTTTGTTGATGGTCCTTGTAGAAGGGCGTCACACAATCCTCACTTGTGAGGATTTGAACACCTCCCAGGTGAGGTCGGTAAGTCTGAGGTCCTTACCTGTCACTCACCCGGGTGCCTGCCTTACGGGTCATGGAGGGGTCGTGGAGGGGTCCTAGGGGTCATGGACCTTCTGTGGAGCCCTGTGGAGCTGAACCAGCTGGAATGACTCCAAGTCGTTTCACCTCGTTCTCCCCCCCCAGGTTGGGGGCTTCGTTTTCACGAGGACGAGAGCGGAGGTTGACTTTGACAGACTAAAGGGACAGATGAGGAGGGAGGAGGGAGCTTGAATTAAGCTGTCCATGTTCTTCAAACTTGTCCTGCATCAGGTCTTCTGATAAAATTTGTTTAGTGGATCAAAAAAACAGGTGAGGATTGGCCTTGTAGATCCCCCGTGATGATACTCTGAAGCATTTTGGCCTACTAACGTAGCAGCGGAACGGAGGTCGACCCCAAGCTCATCACTTCTGACTGAGAGAGCAATCGACTCATTGGTATGGGCGGTATGACTCCAAATCATAGGGCCAGATGCCAGCTGCACAAGTATGATATGCGGCGGATTAGGTCTGCAATAGTTCTTGGATGGGTGGTGATTTAGGATTTGATTGATTCGCAAAACAGCAGATCACATGCACATGGACATGAATGCCAAGATATTCCGATTGTTGATAATTGATCCAAATTCCATCTGGACATGACAATCAGTATCAGTACCATCTCAATCCCATCAAGGAAACAACACATCAGCGAATAGAAGCCTTAATTGGGCCGCCCCAAACGTAACTTCAGCCCAACATCTTCTCACAAGTGTACCTGACGTGTCTAGACCGTCCTATACACATTTTGTTTTTGAATCCATCATCTATAATCTATTTGTCAATTCATTTAATGTTTCTCCTTCATCTCCTGCTCACAGGAGGATGAAGTCAATGGCAGCTGGCTCACGCAACAGGAACGGACGGAACGGACCGCGTGGGATGAAGACACGGACCGTGGGATCAGGAAGCGCGTGAAAGAGACACCGGGAGGAAGCATTGCCGCACGATGCTCATCATTGCAGCACCTGCTGTCCCGAACAATCTTTTCCGGTTTAGCTTCCGGTTTTGCCACCTTTCTTTGTAGAGACACTTCGTTTCGATATGTCTTGATTTGATGCTGCACGAGTGTTTGCTGGGTGCCCAAGAAAACACCTGCGCAGGAATCGGACTTGGAGCTATCTCTGGCGCATTACAGGCAGGGCCACAGAGGACTCCCCGCAATGGATGAGCGATGCATGTAGTTCGTTGTAGCACCATAACATGAGAGTCCTTAGACAAAAGGCTGGACATTTGTGATTCCTTGAGAGTAGCAGTACTTGTCACTTCATGTTGCACAATAGGAGTCCTGGGCCAGTTTTCATGGCTTTTGCGACGGTTCGGGTCTCTTTTCCAGCCCATGCGTTGTTGGGAGATTTGGGGTGCCTCCCCCAAAAAGCTTGAGTTTTGTATGCTTCGTGGTGGTTTCCAAGTGGCTGAATGGCGAGAGAGACCCCTCTGCAGAGCTCGCGCTCAACCTTTCCCTCCCCCGGTCCTCGCCAGGCGCACGGCGCAGATGCGCATCTCGGGGGAGTGGATGCAGTCACTTGGCTCTTCGCTGTTGGGAGACCGGACCTACGGTTTGACCGACTCGGCTCTGGAAGGTCGGTCGTTGGCTCCGTGGAGCAGGGCTCCAAGTTTTGATCTAAGTCTATATATCTCCGTCCAACCAAAGTGCCGAAGACTTGTGGTAGCAGAAACCGAAGATCATTTGGGTATGGATTGGACCGGTCTGGATTGGAGCAATGCGTTTCTTCAATTCCCACAAGATCCCACAAGTACAGTAGAATATGATAGTTGACAGGCCCTTTTAACCCTCATCCACGAAACATAGGACCAATCGAACCAATGTGCAGAAGGTAGTCCAGGATGCCAGAAAACGTAGGATCAACTTACAGAGATAGCACTTTTGCCTGGATGGTGGGACTGTCCGTGAGGGACATTGACAACTCAAATCAAATCCATGCAAACACTCGGACTCATTTGGCAAGCATTAGAATTATTGCCTTTCCAAAGAACACTATACACGACTGCTCTTCGATGAATTCCCAGGGTTGTTTTGGGGCGTCCAGTTGTTTTGGTGACTCTGGATCTAGAGTCATTTTAGTTGATGGAAGATATCTTGGATTACATGAGTCATGAGCCACATGACGTTCTGGTTGTTGGAGAATTCAACAAACGCGACCAACATCTCAACATTCCAATCTGAGATGATGATCTTCGCCACTTCGATCAGGCTTTTGCCGGCGTTCGCTCTTTTCCTGTTTTCCGTTGCAAACCTTTGAACCATTGGGAGCTTGCGCAACCCTCACTCCAGCTTCCGCTCCCAGTCTTCTCTCGAGGTCCTTCGTGGCCAGGGCCAGCTTCAATTTGGGCTGGGAGCCTCCAGACGGCGTCGAATCGCCCGGGCGATTCGCGGTGGAGGGTGACGTTTTTTGGCGACAAGGGGATGGATGGCGAAAGGTGTGAAAGGGATCAAGAAACTGCAGGGGTTACACGTGGGGGTATAGTGTTTGAATAGGGAACCCCCCCTGGCCCAACGAGTTAGACTGGTCTATTTTCCTTCTTCCAGGGGGTCTCCCGAGCTACACACCCATCTCAGGATCGAGTCCGTTGATCTTCATCAGTCATGGCGACAAGTCATGTCGTGACGGTATCGAAAGGTCATGAGTGGTGCCACCTCGACCCCTTTTTCACAAATCTCTTGACCTCCTGGGACCTTGCATGTTGAAACTTGGGACACGTTTCAATTCCGCTTCTGCCAGGCCCTTTCAAGTCCCGCCATGCTAAAAACGCTAAAGACATGCCTTCGACCTCGCCCTTCAGGCTTCATGTACCAGTTCGGCATTGGAGTTGAGCCACACCCTCAGTTCGCCCTTGAGGGCCGGGGAAGACAGCCACCCCCTCCCTCCGGTGCCGTCAGCGCCGTCCTCGGCGCGCGCAAGGCAAGACCTTCCCATGGCCGGTCGTTTTTACGGCCAAGGAGCAGAAGCGGATCCAGGCGGGGCTGGGGATGCTGGGGGGCTGGGGATGGGGGATGGCCTAGGCCGGGGAATGTATATATGGTTTTGGACACGTGGACTGGTGGAGGGTGTGGACTCGTGGACTCATCAAAAGCACATCAAGTGACGTCTGACGTCAGCGAAACAAACATCACAGGCGGTTTCATTTTCATTCAACTGAAACCTGACCCTTCTTCAACTTTGGACAGGCTCAAACTAGGGCAAAACAAACTTTCAGAGAACCGGAATGAAGTTTTATACTAAGCACACACTGATACAAACTGCATGTGATCCTACTTCGGTACCCAGCGTCGTTCGCCAGGAGGTGTGCAAACACCCATCACCATCATGTCTACTGTGCTTAGCTTTCAGAGCTACCTCGTGGGGAGCTGAGTGAGGATCGAACTCCGTTCGCCTGGGCCTGACCAGAAAATCGAATCATCACGAGTGTCGGAGGCTGGGGGTTGTACTTAGGAGCTTAACATTGAAAGGGTGCGACTGACTGGCGGGGACAGTCAGGGAACCTCATTCTCAGCGTTTTGGTGAACAGCAAGATTTGTCCAGTTGCTTCAAAGGGTGGTTGTTTTAGGTAAGCTCTGCGAGGTAGCAGAAAGTATTTTCAGAGTATGTGAACTAGATTTTGAAGGCGTCTTACTTTCAAGCAATTCTGGTTGAGGAGATGCTACAGACAAACATCCAGGTTGCATGAAATGCATTTTTGAAAGGTGTCTCCTCCCAACTCTGGCAGCTTCCATGCTTGAGCAACGATGGCAAGCTGAGCAGATCGGCTCTTGAACTATAAGCTTTATATACAAGAGGGTATAACGTCGTAGGTTGTTCAATCAGTTTGACCACTCAAAACCAATGGATGTTTGCTTTCCAAACGCATATTGAATATTGGATATATTGGAACCTATGATCCCTCTTTGTCCTTATGGGTTTGTCTCAACTGGTGCGTGCTCCTCTGTGTTTCGCCTGATGCCGGGCCAAGATGCCTGGCAGCCGATTCTCTGCAGACCCTTCTCAGGCAGAGATTCCGACCGAGGCACGACAATGGGACAAACCGGAGGATCGGATGAAAGGAAACTGAGCCCGAACTGACCCGGACTGAAGGAGACTGACCAGGACGTAACATGAGATGATCAAGTCATTTTGCCCAAGAGCTGAACATTTTTGTTTGAACGCTGCCAGATCTACGTTGAGACCTTTCTGGGCGACGTCCGGATACACGTCCTGCTGGTGCCTCGCCAAACCGAACCGTCCACCAAACCGTCCGGAGAGCGCGGAGCTCGCGACGGAGCGGAGCGAGGCGCACCTGGCAGCGCTGGTGATGCTCTTCGGGCTGCGGAGGACGAACGCGTCGTCCGTCACCAGACATGGTCGGAAGAGACATGGAAACAACGGACCGGGATGAAGGTGAGCTGCTGGTCTCCAAGAGGTTTTGTTCAGTTTGGGCGGGATGGTGTGCCCAACTGGATATAACTACTGTATGTCCTGCTTTTTGGTTGCAATCTCTTTCATTCCTTTTGGAGCGTCTCACACCGAACGCTCCGATTTCGCTTCTTCGCTTCGGTGTTGGAGTGCGGAGTGGCGACGATGGAACACCGCTGACATGGTACGGCCGGGGAGGATCTCCGGATCTCCAAGCGAAACGAACATCGAAAACCAAGCGAAGCTTCTTGGAGAGGGTGATGGAAGGCGAACGGTTCATGGGGTAGCCGTGGAACTGGTGATCCATGCGCGCGGAACATTTTGCCTTTATATAGATTGGTGGAGGAGCCCTCTACTTTTCCTTCGGTTGGCTTTGCACATGGATGTTGGCCTCACACCAATTAAGCAGGCCCGGAAGTCTGCCTCCGACTCAGTTCTGTCACCGAGGTGTGACGGGCACCCAGACCGACGGTCTCATGGCACCCCACGGTCGCTTGCTTCGACCGGCGATTTGTTTCGGCTCACAGCTCGCCAGAGGCGAGGGAGGCAAAGTCTCCGATTCCAAGCCTTTGGCGGACGCGTTTTGGGTCTGACAACTCTCCCCAATAGCGAATTCCAGGGCCGAGAAAGCGCGAGAAATCGCCCATGTCTTTCAAGACGTCTTCCACGGAGCTTGTGGAGCATGTTTGGAGCTTCGGAGAAACAAGACGGGCGGTTGTTCAAGTAGAAATGGGGGTATGGCACAGATCTTCAAAGGGTCTCCAAATCAGAAAAGAATGGACAGCTTTAAGACCCCTGTTTCGGTCTCACACTTTCACTCCATAGCATCAACCACCGCCGTCCCCCCCTCTCCGGACGGACCGGTGCGCTGTTCCGACCGCGGGGTCGCTGGCTGCGGCGCTGCGATGGAAGGGCGGCAGAAGGTGGTGGCCCAACTGCGACAGCTGCACAATGACTTACAGGACGGCCTCAGGCAGATCTGCTGGGACCTGGCATCTGGGTGGTTTAGGATCCTAGTAGGGATCCTGGATCTGCTGGGTGGTTTAGGATGTGGTTTACTGATTGGCAGGGTTTTTGGAAGAGTGCTCCGAAGACTTGCAGCGGATGCAGGGGTGTTTTGGCGAAATCGCCTGGGCCTATACTCAGCTGGTATAGAAGTGATGTTTCATTTTACTGGTCGTTTTGGTATGATTGGGGCAACCAAATGAGTTCATCCTGGGCAACCCTCCAAGTAGGGAAAAGCACCCTTTTTCAGGGGCACGAACTGATTGATCCCCACACGTATTCACCTGCAAACAGGTCCAACTGTTGGTACCTTGGATCCTTTGGGTGTTCATCTGGAGTGGGACTACTCCCCAAAGCCAACCCAATTCCTCAAAATCCAGGTCCGCCCTCCTCACTTGGCGGACCCCAAAGAAATCTCTAAGATCCTGTAGCTGCTGCCGCCTTCCCCAAGGATCCCAACCCCCCCAAACCATTCCAAGAAGTCCGTGGAAACACCACGTTCACGTCCTCCCGTGCGTGAGACGACGACGCGTCTGAAAACGAGGCTTGAGCACCTCACGGAGGTCTTGGTGGGCCTCGGCCTCCGGCCGAAGGCTGTGACTTGGATGATTGGGGATTGCCGCGGTGAACCTGGTGCGTTTCTGGGACGGCCTGGGGAGGATCGGGACGGTGAAGAGTCTTCGGATCTGGGCTTCGTCGAGTGGGTGGTCACAATCACTTGTGCCCAGTAATCTTGTTACTACTGAGAATGCTCCTAGTAGCGATGCCAGGATGAGGAGCCCCTAGTAGCGTCCTTGCTCCTAGTAGTCAGGCCAGGAGCCCCGTTCGTAGCTTCTTGTTACTGTCCAAGTGATTTGTCCGGCCGGTTCACGATGTCATGGCACCCCAAGGCGCAGAAAGTGGTGGATCTCTTTCGCGAAGCGTTGCTTGGAAGAGTTGGGTGGGTCTGAAAGTGGGGCCTTTGTTCAAGGAGACTCTGAGGTTTCGAGGTTCGGAGGCTTTTTCGGTTTTGTATCGCGTTGTTGATCCTTGATGGTGAGATATGTTCATTGGGGGAAGAGTTCGGCGCCGAGCCTAGAAGTTCCATGTGGTGCAGAGAAAGAGATTTCTCGCAAAGTGAATCGTTCAGGATCCTTTGGACTGAACAAGGCCATGTTTGTTTTCCTTTTGTGGCTTGTGCAGGGTCTGTGATATATTTAAGTCCACTTCACTACACATTGAGCCCTTGTTCTCCAGCTTAGGCTTGGAACACAGGCATCTACAACTGAACAGATTAGGCATTCTTAGGAACTCCCACATGGTGATGTGTGCCAAATGCTTGCTTTCTGGGCTCCGCTTTTGTTTGCCCACCAGCTCCTGGGTCCCGGCTCCCCGCTGCCTCGCACCTCAGGACGAGCTCCACCGAGCCCAGCGAGCTCCGCGAGATGGACCTCCGAGATCTCCCAGTCGCCCGACGGGAGGTGAGAGGGAAAGATGGACGTCTGGTCGGTGTTTTTTCGACCCGGTCGAAGGCGTCCAAGGGCAGAATTTGGAGCATTTGGCGGGTGGTACATCGAAATCACTCTGCCAAGGATGTTGGCTCATTGGGGTACAACTGGTAGCTGTCCTTACCAGTGATCCCACTGTTACAACGAAGGACATCGTTCAAGTCGTGTTCGTTTGGGTCCATAGTAGCCGGGAGCATGTCAAACTTTCCAGGTGAACCCTGTGAACAAGACCAGCAAAAAGGTCTTCCAACATGGGCATATAGCAGTCTATAGCTCTCTTGCTTTCTAGATCTTTCTAGAATGTGACCCTGGGGAGTTGCACCACCCTGAATGGACAAATAACGAATAGTAGCACACATATAATAGCATTTGATAGCCATGTGGAATGGTTTTTGTTTTCTTCTACCACCAGGTTCGGCCAGTGCCTGTCAGTGTCTCAGCGCAAGCGCTGAGGTTCGCTTCATGGACTGGCTTTGTGGCACTGCTTCAGGACACGCTGTGGGGGCAGAAATGGCGGCGGTGGCCATGGTGGCTTGATGTGGCTTGATTTTGCTGCTCCCACAAATGCATAATACAAAGATACTCAGCAATGACTTCACAAGCCGTTCTGGCCTCAATCACAGGATACCTCTCAATCGCTCTCAGCCTGTGCATCCCTGCTTTGGACCATAAATAAAGAGCTTGGGATAGATCTTTCGGGTCAGATTCTCACACCTCGCCATTCATCGACTCTCCAAACAACTGGTCAGCAGGACATGAAGAGAACGAACCGACCAAAGTGGAGGCCGCTGTTCAGCGTGGCTGCGAGAGGCGGTCGACCAATAGAAAATCGGGACTGGAGCAGCGAAGCCGTTCATCGATCGCAGAAAGAATGACAACATCTTGCTTGTTTTTGTTTTCATGCTTCTTTTTTTGGTTGTGGTGGTTGTGGTTCTTGCTGTGGTTGTGGCTGTTGTTGTTGCTGCTGTTTGGAAATTGTTGTTTGTGTTGGTGTTGTTGTTGCTGTGGTTGTGGTGGTTGTTCTTTTCCCCCTTAACATCGGACAGACACCAAAACACCAAGTAATTGCTGCGAACCTTCGACCTCCCTCTTTGGATGTTATGTGACCGGACATATGTGAAGCAGGTGTCGACGCAATTGCTCCCGGTTCAGGAGCTTACATAGATACATGCACTTATATATATCCCTCCAACAACATTGGCTGAGTCAGTATGCTGAGCTGTTGTTTGCAGGTTCTTCAGTTTCCTTCACCTTCGAATGTTTCACACAAATTTAGGACAAGGGAAACGCACCCCATATTGCACTAACATGCAAAATGGACGTTCATCTACCATTTTCACAATACCACACCCGTCCGTGTGGTATGTTAATCGTGAAATAGATTCCATGGACCTGGCATGTCCAAAACTTCTTCCCCCACACTTGCCACTTCTTCCAAACCTGCCACAGAACTGCACCTGTTTGGAGAGACAGAAGTATCGTTGGGTCCACCCGGGGGTGCAAGGATGGTGCCAGGCGGTGTACCAGAGCATTCCTTCATCGCCTTTTCAGCCAGGATGTGGAGGTGACATCGGATGAGCTTCTGCAAATGCAGGCCATGAACGGGAGGCAAACTTCCACGATGTCACAGGAGAGGCGTTGTTGTTTTTTCTCGCGGTGGAAAGGCTGGAAGAGCTGCTGGAGGTCGGTTGGGGTTGGAAACCCCTTTTGCCGACTGGTGCTTGACTTGGCAGGGAATTGAGGGCGGTTTCGTCCTCAATGGAGGGGTCCCTTGGGATTGATGCCCTCGTTCCCTTAAACATCGTTGCACCAGTCAGTTTGAGTGAAGGACAGTCCTGCAAGGACTGGAAGAGCTGCTGGGAGAGGGGACCCACATGTATTTGTACATATACATTGTACATACATACCCAATATGCGACATATTGCAATAATACAAGTTTATACACATATATAATACTGCCTACCAGGAAATACCACGCTGTCCCAGACCCCTCACTCCCAACAACCCTCTTTTCGAACGCCCCTCCACCGCCACCGAGCTTCGCCCGATGAGGACAGCGTGAGCTTGGGCTCGGACTGTCCAAGCCGCTGGGCCGAAGGATAGACAGGGGCGCAGGAGCGACAGGAGATGCTTCCACCGACACCGAAAAGGTCTTCCACTGGAGATGCAGCATTTCTTATTTTGCACATGCAAAAACAAGTGCAGGGCTTGCGCTCAACTAGGCTCCATTCCACTGAGGGTTCTGAAATTGGGGCCGGGGCAGTGTTTTGGGGGGTGGTGACACAACGTGACACTGTTTTACACCGTTACAATGCAGCCTTGGCGTTTTGCAGTTCGGGAAGAGTGTGCAGGTCTGGATCCCGAGGGTGAAGTGCTCATTCTGAATTCGTTTGTCTGTTGGTTCAACAGGTTTAGGTGGGTAGTTTGGTGTCGTGTTTGCATCCGGCAACCATGGACAAGCTGGTGGCATCCACTGAGTCGGCGTGGGTGACCACCTCATGAGAGTGGCAAAAGGTGCCACGGTTCTCACGTTCAGCGCTTCCGCCATCAGGTGCCAGTAGAACCGACTAGAGGAGTTTTGTTAGTAGAAGGTATCGGCAAATATCTAGGACGCGTACACCACATGGCTCTCTGTATAAGGATCAAATTCTTGCTGTGAGAGTGGCGGGTATGGGGGCTCAACAGGATTTGGACACCATACCGTCTGCAAACGCCTCCTAGAGCACTGACAAGGTGGTGATCATCGTCCAAAAACAGACCAGAGATGTGGATGACCGTAGCAGGGTATGTGGGCCTTCTCAAAGGGTGCCTCCATCAAGTTGTTGTCATGAATCTTTTCGGACAAAAGGCAAACACCAGGTGTGTATAATTGTGTACCCTTCTTCGCATGGAGCTTCGGTTTCAAGACTTTGATCAAAATGATTGAGGGGTGGACATGACCCAAAAGAAGTTTGCGCTTGTTCACATGGTCAAAAGGAAGATGCTGATCCACCTACAGGCGAGAAATCCTGTCAGGCAGCTTTGATCTGGGAAGATTGGAAGGGTTGCTGCAGGTTGAAAATGCCTTTCGATTTTAAGGCCCTTTTTTCTTCAACTCTTGTGCGGTTGAATGCCTGGAATTCTAGCGCTGGGTATTCAACAGCGGTTGACCCCAGGCACCTGGTCCGAAGTGAAGCAAGGCAGCGCAGCAACAGCGTGGTGGAGGGGACGTTCTTTTGAAGACTCTTCCAATACAAAAATCAAAGAAGGGACGTGTATTCCCTGGAATGGCTGGGATTTGGGAGTTGGGTTTCCGGGGGTTTCCGTTCTTTTTTGTTTGTTCAGATGGTTTAAGCACGTTCTTTAAAGCATCTTTTAAGCACTGAATCTGAGTTTCTTGCTCACCTCCAGCTGAACCGTCGTTTGCGGCAGCCCGGTTCAGGTCGTGTCGAGTCCTGTTGAGCGACCAACGTGCAGCCTTCTCAAACCTCCCGATGAAAAGCTGACCAATGAAGCATCTCTTCAACATGTACTGTATACGTATATAATATACACATATTAAATAATGGTTTTATGTTATTCTCTTTCCATGTTGCCCACCTGTTCGTTGTCTTCGCGGCGAGGCAATCCGAAGCTTTATACCCGGAGACCTTCAATGATGACTCAGCCCGGCAGCCCAAAGCTGGACTTGCGGTCCGTACTCTATGAACGGGCCTTTGGAAGACTAGTTGATCCTCCACAACCCGACGTGGTTTTCAGGTTCCATGTGGGTCTCGGAACCAGGGCGTTTTTTGTTTCCCCGCTGCCTTTATGGTCCACAGCAGTCGCGTCGCAGTGCAGACAGGCTGAGATTGTGTAGCTGTGTTATTTAAGATCACAATATCATTGACTGCTCGATGACCCACATATATACTGCCTCACATAAAGGGTATTTCATCAAAACACATGGAACATCCACTGCACAGGCATGAAGCTCTGGGGAACACGTTCCACTTTCCATGTCACAGATGAATTCCACCCTCAAACTCTGGAGACCGACCGAGACCCCCGAGACCTTCAGGAGCCTGCGGTCCGTCCTCTTTGTTTTGGTTTTCGTACAGCTTCTCCTTGGTTCACAGGGAACCCCCCTTTGAATTGAAGGCCGAAGCCTTTGATCAACAAGCGGCTGAGCGTGGTGCGGTCGCCCCAGTGGCGGCCTTTGGGGTTTTGGTCTGGTTCGGTTGGTCGGTGCTGACATCGACTCGGAATGCACCTGTTAGTACTAGCGAGGGACTTGTTACTACTAGCGAGGCACCTGTTACTACTAGCGTGGCACTTGTTTCTACTAGCTTCTTGTTACTAGTAGTAAGGCACCTGTTACTACTAGCGATGCACTTGTTACTATTGTGACCTGTCACCCCCAAAGTGTAGATAGAGAAGTCCTTCTCCCCTCCAAAAGAGTTCTTGCAATCCATGTCAGGACCAACAAAGCAGGCAGTTGTTGGGGGGGGGGAAATCTCTTGTTCCTTCAGATTTGCAAGTTGAGGATTACTATAGAGTCTTCTCCACGCGGGCTTGGAGTGTTCTGTTCCTTTCACCTGTCCTCCCCCCAACAAGACTGTTTCAGACGATTCAGCACGGACCGTGGGGGAAGAACAGAGTCCAGGACAGGTCGACAGGTCCTCAGGGTCCCCATGGACCATGTCGAAACGACTATCCGGGTTGGATTTGCGGTTTGAGGCGAACTGAGCATCTTTCACAAAATAAGACAGAAGAGTCATAGACTGCTCCAAATCGAGATAACTTCCATTGGGGGGGAAGTCCGGTGATCACATAATTGCCGGAAGGTGAGAGGCCATCGCTTCTAGGTTGGAGGCCATCACTATTAGGTTATTAGGTGGTTCTGCCATCGATGGTATATCTTCACTCCACCAGCCTCCACCTTCGCCAGGAAATCAGTGAAGCGCTCCTCCAAAGCCCCTCGGCCGAGAACGCAGGTGGTTCTGCGGTTCGGGCGAGTTGACCAGTGCTGGGTGAAAGGAGCTGGAAGGGCTCGAGTCTCAGGCAGTATATTGGAGGTAGACGCCTAAGGTAAGGATGTAGTTCAATTCCTCCTTGCTGTGTTTGGAACTCTCAGTGGCTTGTGGTTGGATTTTGGGAACCCCTGGAAGAGTTGGGATTTTGGGACCCCCAAAAGGGTGTAAACCTCCATGGATTGGAAGACCTTGTCAAGAGTTGAAGCTTTGTATTTGGGCCCTTCCCAAGAACGGCTCAGCTTGAAGTTCTTCAGGCTCAGCTGCCGCCTGGACATCATCACCACAAAACTCCGCCAACTCAGCTGCGCGCAACGGTAACAGGTTCAACACCCCAGAACATCCTCCGCCTGTGACGAAACTCATCCGTCCTGGAGCCGCAATCCTTTGAGACGACGATCACCATTCAGTTTGCATGACCAGGATGCCTTGGCTGAAGCACCATCCACTTCTGGGTGAACCTCGAACTATCCACTTAGGATTGACATGTCTTTTTCGAGATCTCCGTCCATCAAGTACCAGTTGTTGAGGGTCTTTCTATTGAACCCCCCGTGTTCCATGAGTTCATACAGACACCGCGGTGTCTTTCGTTTGGGCTGCTCCAAGAGTCGACCGAGCCGAGGCTTAGACGAAGACACCTCCACGTGGACCGGGAAAGAAGCGGCGGAACGAGCTTCCTCGAGTAGTGCCTTGGGCGGCAGGGCGGACGGAGGGATGTGAAGTCTCGGTCGCGCTGGACTGGAACCCAGAGTCCACAGTGGCCATGTCCAAGCTATATGTACAATGCTTTCGGATGGCGTCCGCTGCTCTGTTGAGTCATCGGAATGTCTCGAGTCCACGAGCGAAAACCGCGTCGCAGCAGCTTGGCCAGAGCTTTGACGTCACCTGAAGCTGCAGCATGCTTTCCTTCTGCAGATGCAAAGTCCAACAAGCAAACAACCAACTTTTGAAGCTGGATCAAGCCACATCATGTGCAGTGAACATGTCATGGTCAGAAGAGATGAATCAGCATTCATGATGGACACAACATTCGTGTGTAACCCACTGTTTATTTATGCTTGCTATATGGTCCCCACTGGTTCTTGCACTTTCAGACATTTTTCTTAGACAAATTCTTCAAAGATTCTTGTGGCAACTGGCAACCGCTACAATAAGTCCTTTTCAAGGGCACAGAACCGTCCCTCCTGGGTTGGTGAGTCTCGTTGTCATAGTGTCTCCCCGATGGAAAATCAACTCGTGCTGCCATGGACTCTGAAGGCCTTGAGGGTGAGATTGCCAGCCATCCGGAAGGCGATCCCCACACGGTCAATGATGGCTTTGGTGGCATTGATTTAGAAGAGGAGATTCCAGAAGAAAATGAACTACCTGAGGGACAGAATGAGGAAGATGAACAGCCTGACCACGCTGACGAGTCGATCGCTCGACGTGAAAAGCTTATTCGTCTGATGGAACGCTTCCAGTCAACCCGCCCTGAGATGATTCGTGCTGTTCGTGTGTACCAGATGTTGATTTGCTTTGGACAGGTGTTCTGGGCGGCTGGAAGCAAGGATTTTTATCACTTCAGCGAAGCTGAGCAGCATGTCGACGCGTTTTTGAGCCATAGCTGGCAGGTGAAAAGTTGGGAGAAGATTCTGCTGTTGATGGTCTTGAAGAACCTCTTACCTGCATGTGTGATTGGAACTCTTGGATCTTTGCTTATGATGATACCTTGCCTGTTCTTCAAGCTTGGAGTGCAGTTCTATTGCTGGTGTTGTTGTGTCGGACTCATCCTGTGGCTCATGACGTTTGTGTTTTGGAGATCGAGAAGTACCGTTTTTGTGGACAGGATGTGCATCAATCAGTTTGACCTACGTATGAAGGCTGAAGGAATCCTAAACATTGGAGCCGTGCTTAAGGCTTCCAAGTCCCTTTTGGTTGTGTGGGACGAATCCTATGCAGATCGACTTTGGTGTATGTTCGAGATAGCTGCATTTCTCAAGGCTCATCCAGAAGCGGTTGCTGAGAAACCAGAGATGGTTCAGGTCAGGCCTCTTTTGCTGGGTTTCCCAGTGTGCCTCGGCAGTGTTTCTATGCTCGCACAGGGCGTTTTTGTCCTGGTGGAACCGTTTGACAATGTAATCTTTTGGCCTGTGGTGCTCCTCTTTGCCGCCATGCAAGCCCTATACCTCGTTCATGCCTTCCGTGGATACTTTAGATCACTAGAGGCCACCAATCAGCGGCTGCAGCAGTTTCAACTGCAGAAGTGCCATTGCTGGTGTTGCAGTGTCAATCATGTAAACCCCGCGAGCGGGCAGCCCATTCAGCTCTGTGATAGAGAAATCGTTTGCCAGTGTGTCATGCGCTGGTATGGCTCCGAGGAAGAATTTGACAATTCCGTACGGTCAGTCGTTGCCTCCGCGCTAAAGCAACAGATGGGAAGCGATGCAATTGACTATCCATTAGTGCTTGGGGCCACAGCGCCAATCTTGTGGGCTGCCATTGACTTGGCTGTTCTTTGGCACTCTCAGGATCAGTTGTTCCATGTCCCACTATACACCATCAGGGCTTTTTCCCTTTGGCTTTGGACCCTTCCAACCGCTGCGACTTTTGGGCTGTGGTTCGCACGCTGCTTCAGGGCACAGGGGCAGTCAATGTGCACAGAGCTGTTAAAAGATTTCCTGGTGGTCACTTTGGCCATGCCCTCGCTTATTGTCTTTGTTACGTTACAAGAATTAACCTTTTTTCTCCTGGAGGATGAGTGGCTAATAGGTGCATGCATCGCAACCCTTTCCTTTTTGATCTTTGCAGTTGCGAGGAAACAGTACCATGCCAGCAATCGGCGTTTCTTCACAGAAATTCATGCTTCATCTGTTCAATGATCTCATGCCTCAGAACGCGCTGATATGCCCCAGACTGGCCTCAATTGGGCGCTCACCTAATTGTTTAAACAAGACCTGGTGAAACCAGGCTTTGTGATCACCCGTGCCACAGAAAAGGTCGCAGTGAAAATTGGTTGCTTGGCAAGTCTTCGCAGTATGGAAGTGTCCAACCTTTCTAGCCAAGTGCATCTTCGCACTTCTTAGCGCAGCAAATCCCCTGGTCAATGTCATCCTATGTCATCCTATGTCATCCACCCAATGTCATCCTATGTCATCCTCAATTCGATCCTCCCATGTCATCCACCCGATCCGGACCTCGGCGACCGAGACGCCGTTCGAATTCGGAATTCCCTTCACCGTGTCGCGCCCAGGCACCGTCATCGTCTTTGACTGGGACGACACCCTGCTTCCGACCACGGTTGGGGGTGCTCAGGCGTGGGAGGAGTCCACGGTCGTACGGAACGTCCGCCCGAAAGGTACCCCTCCAAGAAGCATGGTTGAAGATCGCCACGAAAGGAAGCATGTTTTCCTCTACGAATTGGCAGTGCTGTCTTCACTTCCCTGTTTGCTTCAGGGAGGGCATCTCTTTCGGTGCCTTTATACTTTGACTGCAAGCCTTGCTGCTGTCTTCTGTGGGACGTGTTTTTCACAGAAGATGGGGAACTCAGGTGTTACCCCGTAACACCTCAAGATGGAACCCTCATGATAGACAGTAAACCGTAAACCTCGTTACACCGCCTTTTCCCATCAAGAAGGTGGTTGAGAATTCTGGGCTTCATCTTCACTTAGAGACTCAGGGAGTTGGGATTGGACCATCTCGAAGCTTGGAGAGCAAAACATGAACAGAAGTTGCACCCAGGAATCTCAGGTGTCCGATCATATCAGTGATATGATTCCACCTGATCTGATTCTGAGTTGCATGGAGAGACATGATTAGCAGAGTATGACCTACTAGCGCTTCAATCTACTTTGGGAGAGTCTATTTTCGCTGATTTAAACGTTTAAGAGACCGGAAACATTAAAGAGAGGTGGTGAGAGCTACTGAGCCAAGATGTCAACGCCTGGGAATGTCCAATGATTGCCCGTTTCCTTCGAAGGAAGGTTGATCGTCGTTGAGCTCTGCAGCCATTTGATGCTATGAAAGTCACAACTCATCGGGTTTGCCAACGAATCCCAGTCCTGCAGGCCTTTCCAATAGCATCCCCAGTGCCGAGCTATTCTCTTTCGACCGAACGCTGGTGGACGGACCGGCCTCAGTCCCATCGTGGCTCTGGTTCCATACACCGTCCATTTTCGGGGGGGACTCCAGGTGGACGGAGGCGTTGTGATGGCCCCACCGAGGCAGTGGTGGATGGAGAGTTGGACTCAAAGAAGTCTGCTGGGAGGACCCAGCAGAGTGACCGTCAAGAGCTGGGTCTGGGCAGGGGTGGGCTGTCCGACCTTGGCGCTGGGCGAGCTCTTCCAAGACTGGAAGAGTGAATAGAAGATGCCCGAAGATGGATTTGGCGATGGCTTTTCAGGACTTTATCATTCATTGATTATGCTCATTCACCTCAGTGTGTTTCAAGGGGTCTATATGGAATTTATACCGCCATCGGCGGTTCGCGAGGTGACCACACCTTTCAAAGCCGCTCTTGGCGTGAACATTTGGTGTTGCGGGGAGACGTCGGTGTTCCAAGATGTTGAACCATGACCACACGAACTACGTGCTCCAATGGGAACCCCCTAGCTGGCCAGCTACTGGGATCATCTCTAAAGACGATCCGAACAAACCAACCACACTGGATAGCCCAGGATCAGGCGGAGGCCCTCTTCCGCCCCCTGCGCCCGTCGACCGGGACCCGCCAGATCCTGGAAGCGCATGCGGAGCACGTCCGGGAGACCTTGCAGTTGGCGGCGTCCTTGGGACGCGTGGCCATTGTGACCTTAGCAGCGTGACCTGGCAGGATGTGGGAGCTGGAGCAGCAGGGGGTGAGGTGGCAGAGAGGTCATTAATTATTGTTATAGGATCAACTAGAAGTCAACTGGTTGGGGACAAGTTCAAGACCATCAACGATGCCACCTCTACCAGGGGCAACTTTGTCCAGGCGCTATAGAACGGCCATGGGGTGCCATGGATCATCATTCCTGGTGCAAAGACACATACATCATATACATCTGATACATGACACATTGAATGTATAGGACCATTGAATGGTTTTGATATGTTTTGATGTAAGAAGCACACATCACCACCTGAAACTCACGCCTGGTTTTGGGACGTCGGCCCGGTTTGGGCGACCGGCCTCTGAGGAGACCTTGGCTGCAAGTCTCTGCGAAGAGATATATGCCCAGCCCGGAAGCTGAGCGAAAGAGAGAGGATCGGAGCAAGAGGGTCACCGCAGCGTCGGCGCAAGAGTTCTCTCTTCACTGCTCCGAGAGTCCGTAAGAATCGTAAGTCACTCCGCATGGTCTGTGGCCTTATCAGCCTTGTCTCACTCATTTGTTCAAGAACACTTGCTGGAGATGGATTGCACTTCGGTCCTTTTGCCCATCGATCCGGCCGGGGGTCATAACCTCAAAACACACCAGCCATCCCCACACCACAAGCACCTGATGAACATCCACGTCGTGGATTCCGGAAGGTCGGAGGACACGTCCGACGCTTCGGACGACGTGTCGTCCTCCGTCGATGGCCCTGGAGGGGGTCGAGGAATGGACCCAAGCCCGGGCAGTCCACCTGCGTCCAGAGGTGCTTTTAGCTACCTTCCCAGCCCTCGGTTGCTGGATTGTCACACGAGACCGAATGGACATGTCTGGAGATCAAATCGCGGGAGCCTGTTGAACTAGACACGGCAAGCTTGGAATGCAAAAGACTCTGCCGCTAATGCCCTGGTCCAACCATTTCTGTCCAGCCACTTGGACCAAGCGCACAAAGAGCACACCTTTTCAACATTCATTTTTCGGGGTTGGAGACGGAGTCTGGGATGGGTCAAGGGAGATCAACGGAGGATACTTGACGTTCGCCGTCTGGATGAGCAAATGGATGCGTGGATCGATGGTTTTTCGCTTGCATCCTTCGGCGGAGGCGTGGACTGGGAGCATCTCTTCCACGAGCTCAACATCCCCATCGTTTACTCAAGAGAGGCATCCGGCCGTTTTCCGCGCTCTCGTTGGGCTTCAGACACAGTTCATGTCCCTTTTTCCCCCGTCCGCGCCGTCCACTGATGCAGGGTAGAACAGGGACTCTTGTTCTAAGTTACATAAAGTTACAATGAGTGAACTCGAACAGAGAGCTTACCCCATACACTAGAAGTTACAGTTTAAGTATAGTACTATATTTGAGGAATGGATTCTTACAAACAAGACCGCTTGTGACCCAACGATTCGACTGGAGACTCCGCCGGGCATTCTGTTTGAGGGCGTGCATCGTGGGCTTCCACAGGTGCTGGACAAGCGGCATATGATGGCGGCTTCACAGGAGAGGGGAGACCAGAGCGAAAGAGAGGATGATGGGATTCTCCAGACATAAGCCCGCAGATTCTGAACGGACCGGATTTAGCTTATAAGAGCATATTTCGAGGCTTCCTTCGTTTGCCAAGGCGTGAAAACCCCTGAAACATCCTGAAACCTTCTCTTCCAAGTCCTGGAGGTGCTGGTGAATGCTTGCCCCCTCGTTCTTTGGGGGGGGGGCGTTCGCTCGATACGGGCGTCCGAGATGGACTGCGTCCGAGATGGACTGCGTCCGAGATGGACTGCGTCGTGAAGGACCAGGTGATTCGCCACGCTCTCAGTCACTTAACATCACTCAACCAAGGATCGACCGAGCCAGAGGTTCGCGAAAGAACCCAGCTTACTCTCAGCTGCGCTGCACTGGCTCATCCTTTCGTTCCGTTTTCCGTCAGAAGGTGGAAGACCAAACTCCCCAAGACAAACCTCCTCCGGAACCGACCGCTGGGCGTTTTGGGCGTTGATGTTCGACACCGCGTGATCCGGATCCGTGCGTGATCGACACGGCGCCGTGCAGAACTGGAGGAGCCCGGGATCGATTTGTATGTCATGTGCAAGCGGAAGGCCATGTCGCAGGCCCGGAGCTTCCTGGCACAGATGCAGCACTGGGTGCCATTGCGCAACGCTTCCGGGTGTCCGGGGTACTGTGGAGAAGTTGGGTCATTCTGAGGCTACAGGCTACTGATTGAGTCAGTTGAGCTGAGTCCTGTTGCTTGGACATTTGGGTTACTGTAAGCCAAGTTGTGCCACTAAGGGTGCCCCATCAGACGAAGGTTATTAAAAGGTTGTCATCCTCTCCACAAGGTTCTGTCTTAAGCACGAGGGGACGTCTTGATCTACTTTCGCGTTGGCTTGATAGCTTGTTGGGCAAGGTATGTATTCTCCTCCATGTTTGCGAGTCGGCTTGATGAGATACCTCTGAAGCCAAATGCAACGCGTGGTATCCATCGTGCAATCCTTGGGCACTCGCCCATGTGCCCAATCTGCACAGATCGAACGGGTTGCCCAGCAGAACAGTGGGCACAGTCATGGAGAAACACTGCCCAATAGCTCTACGGATGTGGAACGACCACCAAGTAGCCCCACAAGGACGTCTTTGCATGGCGTGTGCCCCAACAAAACTCCGCGAAATGCTCCGTTGTGACTGACCCCCCCACGTAGCTTAGTGTTTCGCAAGGGACTCCATGACATTCCATGGCCCCACGCGATTCGCCGCGGCGAGACGGCGTCGTTCGCCGCGGCAGGCGATCAAGAAGCTCAAAGGCGTGGCGGGTCGCTGGGACGGCCACTTGGGTGTCCGAAAGGGGGGTCTAACACCCCGGATCGATGATGGTTTACCCTCGAAATTGGAAGCTTCTGACTTCTAACTTCTCACGTGTGCACCGCACATTTCTGCAACAAGAGATGTCATAGTGTTTAACCGTGCTTTTGGATGATCTTTGCTAACTGGCCGACACAGACCTGACTGTCTCAGAACTTGCAGCACTTGACGGCAAGCGGCCATGCTTTTCGACTCAGCACACGCCACCAAATGGCCGTGGCCTTCCACAGTTCCAGCATGTTGAAGGCCGGTGCCGTTGAAGGATGCTGAAGGTCATTTTTTGGGGTGCAACAATGTGCTTCCATGCTTCAGGCCCGC